GTGAATATATATATATAATATTGATATATCAGGAGTGAATATATATATATAATATTGATATATCAGGAGTAAATAATCTCAAAGGAGTTTGACACGTACGTATTTTTTCGGGCGTTTAGCAATTTTCCACTTCAATTCATTCTTGGATCACACTTGGATTTCATTCACACTTGGATTGGCATCAATACAACAAACAATGTATATATTCTTGACCTTAATTATTTCGTGCATTTTTGTTATTCGCCTATCTTCTACTGAAATCAGTTCATAGCTGTTTGTGGTCGTATTGCTGTATAATTGTATATATTCAAATACGGCGTTGATTCAGAGGCTTTTCGGCATGTTAATTGTCACATGATCCTGTAGGCGTATTTTGTAGAGCAATACTCGAGTCAAACATTTCTGAAATGTGTAGCCGACGGCACAATTTACGTTTTCGCATGCCCTATAAATAGCAGCCGACGAAAGTTTGACGGAAACAATTTATCTTGGCTGGCAACACAACGAGCGACGCGAGCGCCATTCCCATGTACATTAGCATAGGGGGGATTGTGACGGGATGTGCGGCCAAAGTGAAATTTTTCAGAGCGTATATTAACCATGCACATCTCTCCCGGGCATACCTCTGCCATTTTGAGGTCGCTCTCCAGCGTTGTAGACGTGCCGGCGATCTCGTACGTGACTTTTGGCCGAAAAAATAATCTTTGCTGGCAACCCGACTAGAGACGCGAGCGCGATTTCCATGTACATGTACATGTATCTGCATTTGAGTTCATGCGCCAGTCGATGACGTCACGAATGTTACTAAAATCCCGCACTATCTGAATATTTGTAAAAAATATAATCAAGATGTTTAATATAATAACTAACATGCCAAATTGTTAGAGAATAATTCATACTGCGTTCTTAGCATTCGGACTATGTTATCTTCATCGCAATGTAATTATTGTCACATTTTTCTCCAATCATGCGGGAGATTGAACAAAAAACAAGTATGGCGTCGCAGGGAAAGAAGAAGTTGGAGTTTGCTGTTACGAAATGGTCTACTTATTCTGCGTCTTATGTCCCAGAGTAATTATCACCCATGTACCCCTCTTGTGTTGACATATTCACAGATCTTGTCGCAGTAATACGTAATTTGTAGTATTTGGCATGATAAAAACTATTGCAGTGTTTAGATTATTTAATTTCAATCTTTTGCCGCACTGAAGTCATAACAGTACCGACATACTACTGACTAGTACTGAAGTTATAATATTGTGTATTATACTTTGTGTGTAAGTTGTTTACGTAGGATCGTCAGTATGAATACTTATCGCAGAATATAGCATTTAGTTCTCTATATATTATTATATTAATATAATATTAACCCAGAACAGTTGGCCAACAGTGAAAAGTGTGAACGGGTTAATTTGATCAATCCAAGTCAAAACAAATAAAAAATATGTTAGTCTGTTCATTGATCCCCCCCGGTCTTTGTTTTATATTAGAAATATCATGGAAGACAAGCCGTATGATCATGCATCACGCTGGTCTTCTGATTCCAACACACCTCCGCAGGTCTGTACCTTTTACCAATTTACCCTGGCTGTATAGCTATACCAATTTTTAGCCCTTTAGTAGGGCTGATAGGGTCTATGTCCCCCGGGGTACTGCCGGAACGTACCCTGGGTACGGTCCGGTATACCGGAACGTACCCTGGTACTATATTATATGCCGGACCGTACCTATAGCCTACTCCACTAACGAGTCTAGGGACTCGCCTACGCATGCATACTCCCTAACCCTAACCCGAACCCTAACCCTAAACCTAATCCTAACCCTAACCCTAACCCCATATTCACATATGGACCAGGGTACGTTCCCGGTATACCGGACCGTACCGTAAGATCCGGCAGTACCCTGGGGGACATAGACCCTATGAACTTTAGTTAGGCTTATACTCTGACTCGGTGCATTGTGGGACATATATCCTCTATAGTCCTAATCATTTTCTAATAAACCTAAATTATTTGTAGTCCTGTAGGCTCGCTGTTTACTGTGTCTGAATCTTTTTAGGCACCCGATCTTAAATTCTCCCCACCTGTTATTTGGGAAGTTTTCTGTTGCGGCAAAGCTTTCCTAAACGTAAAACCATTCTCCTGTCTATTGTGTGGCAGTTCCTTGCTTCTAAACCTTTGTTAGATCCCTTCCTGGTTGGACCCCCCCCATGAATCCCCTATCCTACATGTGTGTTCAGTAATTTTTGTTGCTGTTAATTAATCTTATGTCCTCCGTTGTTTAGTAGTTCTTGTGGATGCCTTCAATTATTCCGGTTTGTCTGTTGATCACGTAGTTTTTTCTTTGAATCCTGTGGTCATTCCATTCGCATAGTTCGGAGGTTCTTCTTGCTGACTGTTCTTCTGTCCATTTTCAGACAGTTCTTGTTGCTGAATTGTTCTTCTACATGTTGTTCGAGCAGTCCTCGTTGCTGAATTGTTCTACCTATTGTTCGAGCAGTTCTTGTTGCTGAATTGTTCTTCTACATGTTGTTCGAGCAGTCCTCGTTGCTGAATTGTTCTACCTATTGTTCGAGCAGTTCTTGTTGCTGAATTGTTCTTCTACATGTTGTTCGAGCAGTCCTCGTTGCTGAATTGTTCTACCTATTGTTCGAGCAGTTCTTGTTGCTGAATTGTTCTTCTACCTATTGTCCGAGCAGTTCTTGTTGCTGAAGCTGGTTCGGCCGGCGATCGTCGAGACAATCACGTTTGGCAAGTACGAAAAGACGCACGTCTGCAACCTGAAGAAGTTCAAGATCTTCGGCGGTCTAAACGAGGATCACATGATCGAGTTGCTGGAGAGGTATCAGTCGGCAGCAAGATGTTCCTCACCTGTGCACACGTTTGTATGTGTGTGTAGGTGTGTGTGTGTGTGTGTGTGTGTGTGTGTGTGTGCGTGTGTGTGTGTGCGCGTGCAGGCATTCGTGCATGTGCGCGTGCGTGCGTTCTATAAAATCCAGGTCCTATATACTTTTTTTTCTCCGAGAGGAACAATATATGCATTTAGTCAATGTGATGTTTCCGAATACACACTAGTTGGTTTAGATGAGGGTAAATGGAAATCTAGGTGATCAATCTAAATTAATTAATTTAGTAAAAGTTTTGCTAATCACTGGTTCCATTTCCTTGATCGAACGTATAAAATTTGTTATTAACTGAGGTGCGAGATAATAAGAGCGATGGTAATACAGAGATGCCAACACTTTTCTGAGCAAACTGTAGTGAGGATATCTGAAATCTGTAGTCCGAGGGTCACGCAGTGACCCAAGTATGTTAGGGGGGTTCGGGGCATGCCCCCCGAAATTTTTTTTATTCCGAGATGCAATTTCCTGCATTCTGGGACCCAAAATGATAATAAGTTTACACTGATGTTTGCTGCTAAATACATGTAGTTATTTTTAATCATGTTATATCAATGTAACACTGAAACAAAACACTTGAAATATCATAAAAATGATTATTTTTTGATCGTAATAAAAATCGTAGTTGTATGCAAACTGGTCGTAGTGGTCAAAATGCAAACGAAATTCGTATAAAATACGGATAAATCGTAGTGGTTGGCATCGCTGGTAATAGTTCAGAGCGCGTTTATTCGCGGTGTGCAAATTTCTCGTTGTCGTATCGTCATGTGAGGTGTCCGCTGCCTCTCCCTCCGTCTGCCGATGCGATGACAAGCCAGGATCAGGCCATAATAAAAATATTGTTTGTTTGCCCTCACCCGACCGACCCGCCAAAAAGGGGTCGACTCAAAAAAAAAGCCTACCTACCTACCCAAACTTTTCAGCCTGGGTCGGGTGAGGGCAAACAAAGTTTTTTTTAATTGTGGCCTCACCGATTGACGTCATTTGCTCGTTTTTTGTGTGTGTGCAGCGGCTTGAAGAACGATCACATCCCCGAGACGTTTGTCCTCAAACATGCGCTGGAGGAGAATCTATTTCCTTGTCGCTACATCAAGATCAGTGAGTAGTCAGTCGGCAGAGAATGAGATATTTGTCGGAGCGAAAGAGTTTTATTGGCCAGGTCCGGCTGAGTTCACGTCACTATTTCGACCGCGACTGAGCAGTCGGGTGTTCATTACAGACTGCTCAACGATCATTACCGCTGACAAACAATCAGTGGTTCCAGCACAATTCAGGTCACGATGGACCCGGCAAACAATACTAATAGACAGATTTCGCATTCCCCGAGTCAATTAGAACGTGCGCGTCCAATTTGTTCCCTGGATCATTCTCGATGCAATAGTACAAGTATTCCAAATCCTATCCAATCTCATCTATTTGACGTAGGTTGTCAAGTAGTAATGATAACAATGTTTCAATCAGGTTCAGTACAGAGATTCTGACCATTTCCAGTCCGTTCTAGCAAATGCTCTCTGCACATCTGAGTCGTGTTTGTGTTAGTTCTCGCCTCGTTAGAGAATCAAAGTGCGAATCGTATATATGCCTCCCTTGAGAAGGCGTTGCCGCATGCTTGTTTTTCCAGTGCCAATCCTCTCCTGGGGACCGAACTTCAACTTCAGTATTTGGTACATCGAACTGCAAGGCGTCGACGAAGGCGTGATCGTGCAGCCCTGCATGAACTGGTATAACACGGTGAGTCCCTGCAGGTGGAGCCACGTACCATGCAGCATGTGTGGCCCGCGTCACACTTTCTCGCTCGCGTTTCTTACACGGGTGCGTAGCGGGCCGTTCGTGTGTGGTTTTTCAGTGCAGCATCTGCATCGAGGGTTTGTGAATCCTGCGCTCATTGCCGAGTTTCCGTGATGAGAGGCGATCTCGGTTCGTGTCGAACCTGCGTCTAAGGACCACTCGAAGTAAATGCTCGAAAAGTGTCCTTCCCAGACGTGTGTTCATTCAGTGGAAGTTGTTACGGCCTGCACCTACCGGCTCGCCCGAGCACAATGTTCAAGTGTCCTTTACGGACAGCGTTCATTTTACGGTCGCTGTTTTTCGCCGCACTCTCGAGGGAAAAATCAAGAGTGTCCGTTTGGCTAGTCCCCGCTAGCGTCGGTTTTGCTCTGTATGCGGTAACGCGCCCGGGACGCGGGCAGCAGGGGGCGCCGCACGCGATGTCACGGCCGTCGTCTCGTTGCAGTATCGGGAGCGCGCGGCGATCAGGCTTTGTCTGAAGCACTTCCGCCAGCACAACTACACGGAGGCGTTCGAGTCTCTGCAGAAGAAGACAAAGGTTTCGCTGGAGCATCCTGTCCTCACGGAGCTGCACAGCCTCCTGGT